TAGTCTTTTTCAATAAAAGTTTATTGAAACGACGTAGTTTTAGGATGATTTTCCTCCTAATTTTTGGGAGGTCAGGCTGACAAACACTTTTCCCTTATAATTATATTATTATATTATATTATTATATTAAATTTTGGTCAAATTTCGTCCCCGTTATCAACTTAGTCGTATTAGTCTAAAATAATTGATACTTTGGTCATGTCTACACGTTTAATTTTGGTCCTAATAGTGATTGCAGCAAACTTAAAAAAAGATGAGAATTGCTGTAACTTGAAAGATGGTGCAATTTTGGCCCTATGAACACGTTTAATTTTGGTCCTAACAACGATTGCAGCGAACTTAAGAAAAGATGAGAAATGCTGTAACTTGAAAGATGGCAAAAGTCTACTTTTAACTTGAAAGGATATATAAATTTTTAGGTTTGACATGTAACAAAAAATACAAAAATATTTATAAAAAAATTCAAATATTATTAGATTTGTAGGTTTTAGCCCTCATCTTATATTATTATGATACTTTTAGTCTCTTAGCTATTAGAATTAAAAAAAAAACCTTCACTTATAATATTTTGTTAGTTTTATTAGCTAACTGTTAACTCTATTAACTGACTATTAGTTAATTGTTAACTGGTAAAAACCTACTTTCAGCTAATAGAGTTAACAGTCAGTTAACAAATAGTTCTGTTAACTGACTGTTAACTTTATTAGTTAACTGTTAGCTAATTATTAGTTGAAAAAACTTATTTTTAGGTAACAGAATTAACACTCAGTTAATAAAATTAACAATCAATTAATAGAACTAATAAAGTATCATAAAGTGAGGGATATTTTGTTCAATTCTAATAGATGAGAAACTAAAACTGTCAAAGTATAAGGTGAGGGACTAAAACTTATAAATCTAATAAAATAAAAGGCTAAAAATATATTTTTGCCCTTGAAAGACGATGCAATTGTGGTACAATCTACGCGTTTAATTTTGGTCCTAACAGTGATTGCAATGAATTTACAAAAAAGGTTAACGGAATTAAAGCTACTAAATAGGATTTTTTTTAAAAACATAATTAGTTATTTAATAATGTAAAATTTTAAATTTTCACTTTAATTTTAAATTAAAAATTTTAAATTAAAAATTTTAAATTAATAAATATTTACTCAATCAAGTATATATTGATAAAAGTTATAATTTTAATTTTAATTATTATTAAAATATTAAATATATGTACTAGTGCAGTTTTATTAAAATATATAAAAAAAATTTAATTGTGTGAACACTATATTTTTTATAAAAAGATCAAGAAAAATTTTGACCTGCTAAAGATATTTACATGTAACTCAAAAAAAATGCTGAAGGACTTTCGCTTTTGGAAAGAGCATAAATTCCTACGTCTAGCCCTTCAATTTTGAATAATCATCACTCCTTTGTTTGGTGAATTGTGTTCATCTTTAAGAAAATGGCAAGTTTAATAAGGTTTTCCCAAATCCTCTGCCTTTGCTTCATGTTGTTACGGTTTCGAGTCCAAAGCTCCTCACCTTCTCAATCTTCTCCCGATTCATCACCACATTGGTGCCGTCCTGAAGAGCGTTCTGCACTGCTTGATTTCAAAAGCACTACTAATTTCCTGGAATACTGTTTTGGTACTCCTCGTCCTATAATAAAAACTTGGAAGGAGAGTAAAGACTGCTGCTTGTGGGAGGGCATCAAATGCGACAAGGTGAAAGGTCAAGTGATTGGCCTTGATCTTAGCAGGAATTGTCTTGAAGCCAATCTAACTACAACTAGTAGTCTCTTCCACCTTGAGAAATTGCAGAGTCTCAACCTTTCTCGCAATTATTTTCATTATCCTAACATCTCATTTGGGTTTAACCGTTGGAAGAGTTTGAGAAATCTTAATCTTTCAGGTACGAGATTTCATTTCTTTTTCTTTTGTTTAAAATCTCCATGCTTCCAAAACTGGTTTCACTTCTTCTAATGTGACAAATCTTTAACCTTGCAGCTTCAACATACTTCGATGGCTCTCTCCCGGTTGATGAGATCTTCTTGCTACTGAAATTGATTTCACTCGATCTCTCTTATAATTATGGTTTGCTTCTTGACAACATAAAATTTCAAATGCTTGTGCATAACTTAACAGAATTAAGGTTTCTTATCCTTGATTCTATGAATATGTCTCTGGTTGTGCCTTCTTCCTTGCTAAACTTGACTTCTTCCTTGGAGCATTTGAGCCTTAGCTCTTGTAATTTGCAAGGAAACTTTCCAAACCAAGTTTTTCAGCTTCCATCTCTCCATCTTCTTGATTTAAGCTACAACTCTCATTTAGGAGGTAATTTGCCCGAGTCAAACCAGAGTAGTACCCTCGAGTATTTGAATCTTGCAAACACATCCTTCTCAGGAGAATTGCCTTATTCAATCGGAAATCTTAAACTCCTACAGGAATTGAATCTTGATGGTTGTCAATTTTATGGATCAATTCCTGGATCTCTTGCAAATCTTACAAAGATAACTCAACTAGATTTTTCTTCCAACCATTTGCGAGGGCAAATACCAAATGTTTTTGGAAAAATGCACAAGCGAACTAATTTGAAATTAGATGCAAACAACTTTGGTGGTGAAATTCCTTCATCAATCTTCAACCTCACCAATCTTACTCTTTTGTCAATATCATCAAATAAGCTATTAGGTCGCATACCATCTTGGTTGATTTCTCTGCCTTATTTATCCTATTTAAATCTCCAAAACAACTACCTTACTGGACCTATTGATCATGTTGAGATGCCCAATCTCTTTTTACAAGAAGTCTGTTTGTCCAATAATGAGATAAGTGGTTCACTTCCTAGCTCCTTCTTTGATCTTGTGTATCTTACTAGAGTTGACCTTTCTTCAAATAATTTAACTGGCACCATTACATCTGACATGCTTTCGAAGCTTGTAGACCTTGAGGATCTTGATCTTTCCAATAATAGTTTGCTGTCTTTGAGCAATAATGGCACTGCTGTCAACTATTCCTTCCTTCCTAGCCTCCTGTCTTTAACATTCTCTTCTTGCAACATACACAAGTTCCCAAGTTTCTTAAGGAAGGCAGAGAAATTGCAAGAATTGGATATTTCCAAGAACAAGATTTCTGGTCAAATTCACAAATGGGAAATAGAAGGGATGTCCTCATTGTACTATTTAAACCTTTCTTATAACTACTTGACTGGTATAGATTTATTTGGTTTTGGAAATCTTAAAACTGTTGACCTCAGATCCAACTTACTACAAGGATCACTTCCCATTCTATCAATAACTTGGGATTCTATGCTAGAACTCCTCATTTCAGGGAATAAATTGACTGGTGAAATCCCTTCTTCTTATTGTAATTTTACTTCTCTTAGAGTTCTAGTCTTAGCTAATAATAGGTTGGGAGGAAAAATTCCAGAATGTCTTGGAAACGTGGGTGTTCTCAATGTCTTGGATCTGCAGATGAATAAGTTCCATGGTAGGATTCCAAATTTATTTGACAAAAACAATCCATTGATAACACTTCATCTAAATGGCAACCGATTGGAAGGGATATTGCCACGGTCTTTGGTTAATTGCAGTGTGTTGGAAATCCTAGATGTGGGGAACAACAACTTGAATGATACCTTTCCACATTGGTTAGGTGTTCTTCCATCGCTAAAAGTTCTCATCCTTCGATCTAATCGATTTCATGGTGCCATCAACGATTCTATGCCTACGTTTTACTTCCCTCAGTTGAGAATCATTGATGTCTCACAGAATGATTTTATGGGTCTCCTACCGAGTAACTATTTCAAAATTTTGAAAGGTATGAGAGATGTAACGCCAGCTGATAAAGTCAAATATTCTATGCATATTTTTATTATTATTATTATGAGGATTCTGTGAAGGTAGTAGTGAAAGGGTCAGAGAGGGAGCTTGTAAGGATCTTGAAAATTTTCACAGCTATAGATTTCTCGAGCAATCAATTTCATGGACTAATTCCTGACGAGCTAGTTGAACTCAATTCACTTTTATTACTAAACTTATCTCACAATAGTCTCAATGGTCAAATCCCATCATCATTGGGGAAATTAGCAGAACTCGAGTCATTAGATCTCTCATCAAACAAGCTTGAAGATAGGATTCCAGAGCAATTGACAAAGCTGACGTTCCTATCAATCTTGAATCTTTCGCACAATGAACTTGTGGGTCACATACCTGAAGGGAAGCAATTTAGTACTTTCTCAAATGATTCCTACATTGGGAACTCTGGGTTGTGTGGATTCCCATTGACAAAGAAATGTGAAGAACCAAGACCACCTTCATCACAATTTGAGGAAGAAGATGACTCTACAGCAATCTTTGAGTGGAAGTTTGCATTGGCAGGGTATGGGTGTGGACTGGTGTTGGGACTTAGTATGGGATACATTGCCTTCACTACAGGAAAACCATGGTGGGTAGTGAAGAAAGTGGAGAAATATCAACTGAAATTAGTTGGAAGGTGCAACCAAAGTCATAAGCACAGAAAAACTGAAAAACCAAAAAACCCAACTAACGCTCTTGAGTAAGTTTCTACAACTCTCTATAATATTTGTGTGCTATATAAGTTCTAACGATAAAAATCAAGGCATGTTATGTAATAGTGACTCTTAATTTTTCTACTTTTGCTTTATTTTATATAGGTGCATGTAGGTGCGGTTGATTTCCTACTCCGAGGAGATCTGGCAACAGTTGCTTCTTGAGTTTGTTTCCATCTTTTTCATGTTCATTGTTGATATATAGTTGTATTGACTTGTGTGGGAGAATTTGTGTTAATTTCTTTTGGATTTCTATTTGCTCTGAAAGTAGTTGGCTATGTATTTTTTTGGTGTAATTTGTTTCTTCTGATGTTATTTACCTATGCATATTTTCTTCTCTCTTCCTTTGTTTTGGCTGTCTTTGAACGGTGCATTTACTAAAGGAAAATGTAAAATCTTGTTCTTTTTTGGTGTAATTTGTTTCATTTGATGTTATTTACATCTGCCTATTTTGTTCTCTCTTCCTTTGTTTTGGCTGTCTTTGAATGGTGCATTTTGCCAACCTCCTTTGCTCTCCGGAGGCCCACCCTCTAGCCATCGCCAAACTCAAATCTTGTTCTTTGGCTGGTGGTCTGATTCATAGGCAGCTAATTTTCCTTGGTGTTTCCTTTTGTCTGGAGATATCAATTTCTGTCTTAAGAGGGGCAAGTTGTAATTTTCTCTGTGTGGAATAAATTAATGTGTTTTGCCTTTTACTACTTAAAAATTTTAGATATTTTTATACTGCATATGCCAAGGTTGAGATAAGATGTTTCTAGCATCATCATATGTAAGTTCTAGGTCTCATTTGTAAACTTTCATTTAGATTCTGAGGTGTATGCACTGTGTTCATTGCTAATCAGTGTAGGTCATACCACATAGAGTATGGATCATTCAATTTAATCTTATTTTGCTGAGATAAATTACAATTATAATATTTGTTGTTCTTTTTGTGAACTCATTAATGGATATTTTTCTTACAAATGGTATATCCTATGAGCATCCTAAAATTGAGTCTTTGGAGCTAAGAGAGAGACGACCCAAGATTACATCCTCAGGAAAGGTTTCTATTGTGATGGTTGAAGTAATTACTTGATTTGATGGCTTTGATATTCAGGTACTTATTTTACAATCAAAGGCTGAGAATTATTCTTGAATTGAAACATGCAAAATGTCTTTACCTATTATTGCCATTGATATTGCATTGTCTTATGAATTATTTCTTGTATCTGATGAGAAGCTATGATAAAGAAAGCTGTGTCTGATGGATATTTTTCATTTTAGGTCACATTCCTCAAGGGAAGACAATTCATTTATGAAGAATATAAACTCTTCCATTCAGAACATTCTGTAATAACCTGAATTTATTTAAGTTCTATTTAACAGTCTGTTTCATTAAGGTCAAGCACTTGAATTTGTTTAGCAACCTCAATTTACTAATAGTTCTATTTGTGGCATTTCTAATTTTTTTGCTAGCTACATTGTATTACAAACCAGACCCAGTTTCTTGCTTTTTCTTTCTCATTTTGCTTTGTGCACTCACCAAAACTTTGTGTTACTCTGGGCCTAGATTAACTAATAGAGATTTTTTGATTTTTATCAGATTCAGTTAATTAAAGTGTAATGGAAATTGGGAAAGTAATGTGTTTCTGTTATATTTAGACATCCAAGGTGATTGTGATACTATGTGTTGCTGTCTATTCATCTTGGATGCTATTGCTTTTAAATTTTATTTGCCATTTAGCCTTTATGGGATTAACACTCCTCTTTTAGCTGTCTTAATTCTTATTTGTTCTTTTTGAAAGCCTCTTGAATGTTTTATTTATTTCGTCATAGTTTCTCCTTTGACCTTTTTGGCAAATCACTGCAGAAATGGGAAAACTCACCTTGTCACAAAGTGGCACATTGTCTACCGTAACCAGTTCACTTGGGTATATATTGTTGCTCTTAGACACTTGGGCACTTGTTGATGCTACCGCAAAAAGGTTTGTTCAGTCCAAGTCATTTTGAATATTTTTAAACTATGGAGCTATCTTAACTAAATAATAGAAATAGGGAAAGTATTTTAGGTAGGCCTTACTTGTTTCTGTTCATGTGTTATTTGTGTATTAGTTAATTGTTACGGTAGCTGTTGCATTTTGAATTTTACATGCCATTTAGCATATGAGATTAGCATTCTCCTTTTAGTCTTCTGGAATCTTATTTTAATGTCTTATTGATTTCATTACAGCTTCACCTTTTACATGTTTGAAG